TCCTTGAGGACCTGCTCCATGATTTTTCCAGGGACTGAGGTGAGGCTGACTGGCCTGTAGTTCCTATCTGTAAAGTGACTAAGTGATAATTAGGCTTCCTCTACCTCACAGAGTAGTGGCAAGGATAAAATTCATCAATATGTGAAGATACTGTAGTGCGAACTAGAGACAAGTCCATAAATAAATATCCAGTACTGACCAATGTTGGGGTTGGATTACCAGACTATAGGATCCATTAGTCTCTTATGATATGGCAATTCCTGTGTTTTCTTCAGTTAGTAACAACGTATTCTATTTGCATAGTTTTTTTCTTGAAAGGAATCACTTATAGCATAGTACCAAAGAATAAAACATTCTCACACATCAGACCAATTGGTCAGACAATCAAAACTATCTCTTCAAATGTAATTTAATTTAATGAAGAGGTTGAACATCTTTAAACTAACAGCAAATCAGCATTGCTTCAAACCCCTCTCCCCCACCATCCCATCCTAATACTGTGTATGTTAAGAAGACTTTTGCTTTGGCTACTTCAATGTTGTTGATTTCCTCCATTACAATAATGAAAAACATTACAATTCTAGAAGCTTTTTAATAATTACTGCTACTTACTCTGAGCTACCATGTCGTTTACTGTTAACAGTGAAAGTCTTAAAATCATGATTTTCTGTCTTTTCAATTATGGATAGATTTACAGAGTAGTCTCCAGAGGAAATGCCAGGCTACTGATGACTCTACATTAATCTCTCACACAGCTTTTAGCATCCATGTGTGGGTTGGATCCTGCTCCCACTTAATTAAATGGGATTTTGCTAGTCTTCAATTGCAGCCGGATCTGGCCCTATAAATATATTCTACATTAAGAAGCCTTAGTGGCACAAAGATGAAACAAGAGTCATTATGGGCCAATTTATAGCAATTAAACTATAAATCAAAAGTACAATTACACATTTGTCTTTGATGGAAAGAAGCAACTGCTATCAATTCAGTCATACACAATAAATGAAACAGCTCAAGGAAACTTTTAGGGTTAAGGCTTCTGTGTGTTACATTGGCTGTCACACAATCAGATTAACTTTTAGACTGTGGAACTACATTATCTGTAGGACATATTACATTTTATTATTATCGGTAATTACCTAAATAATTTTCTGCAGGTTTCTCTATATCACAAGGAGTTTCCCATGGCATTCACACCCACATTTTAAGAGCTATCCAAGAAAAAAAAAGTTGAACAGTTTTTCCCCATAATGATGTAAAAAATTATGTGATTTAATCATTATAAAGGGGCTCAGATATAACAGTGATTAAAGTAGTATAAATAACTGGATAGATGCATCCATCCATCATTCCCCATTGGTCATGTGTGTGCCTAGAGGTATTAACTCCAAAATACAGTAGGTTCAACTCACACCCCCCACCCATCCCCACAAGGAAAAATGAAATGCCAAAAATAATAATGGGGATAGAGCAATTTATTTGTGGTGATATGCTAGGAAAGATAAATAGGTATAATAAGCTAACATCTGACTTAGAGGGGAGTAGTGGGGTTGTGATAATCTGCAAGTATCATAAGGGCATAAACACCAAGAAGGAGATGAATCATATAGGATGGCATAAACTAGGAATAGTAGGATTAAACTTAGAAAGGAAATGTTAGGGTAACTTTTAGGAAAAACTTTCTGATAGTGGGTTCCTTAAGTCTCTAGATCTGCTTCCCCAAGGGAAGTGGTGAAAGACTCATTGCTTGGGAGGTTTAAAACTAAATTAGATGAAAACACATTGTAGAGAATAATTCTGCAGTGCCAGGAAAATTAACTGGTGTGCTAATAAGTCTTTTCCATCTCTAATTTCCATAGTTTTGTCATTTAAAGATAGACATATCAACCCAAAAAGATTAAAAATACAAAACTATTGAAGGAAGTGGACATTTAAGTAATAGATTTACCTTAGCAAGTGTCTTATCGTATAGCTTTTAAAACACCTCTGAAGATATCATTACCAATCTCCATTTTCTAGATCTATTTTTGTCCTGTTTTGTTCACTTTTTGTTTTGTAAAGGGGAAAAGAAATTTAACAAAAGATTACATATCTGGGAGAGGGTGAGGACTAATACAAAAGATGCCAGGAGTGCTTCATTTTGGGTGGCCAGAACTGTATTCATCTATGTTTACATGTCATGTAAAATTCAGATCACTCGTAACTAACTACAGAAAGGCTATTTCTCAACAAAACATACATATCTTTTCAATCCCCCCATAATCTCAAAAATGTAAGTACTAGTAAGACACTGGACATATTCATAAGATCATCTGTTTTATTTAAGAATCTCACATAAATTTCTTTACAGAACTCACATATACTAAAAATAAGCTGGACCTAATTCTGACCTCACTAACACCATGGCACGTAGGAGTAACTCTACTGAAGTCAAGAGAATTACAGCTGTGTATAACTGATGTAAGAGAGTTCAGAATTGAGTCGCTTGTATACAGAATGTCAGATACGCACATCAAACTCTTCTTGCATAAACAGAACATGTATAATTGCAACTTTCAGTGTTTAAAATTCAGAATGTGTACTCGTGCCTTAAAGATGGTAAAATATTAATGTTATTAAAATATCATGTCCTAGGGAATTGATGTCAGGTATATTAAAATCTCTTATTATAGGTAAAAGTTATTTAACTTTGCTATTACTACATTCTTGAAATATTCTGTAGCATCTTTGTTAATTTAAGTACAGTAGATGTTAAAGTTTTCTGTACATGCTTTGTTACCTTTCTCCCATAGGGATCCATGTTGCTTGTCTTGCCAGGAAGCAGGGCTCAGCATGGATCCATATGAAGCCTTCAAGACTATTCACATAGAAGGATCATTGTTAGGCAACAGAAGACATTCAGTTTCCGAGACCCAGTTGGCCAGAAATGAAAGATGACATTTGAATTTGGATTCTCACCTCACCCCAAAAGATAGCTCATTAAGTTATTTTGATCTTTATCCTCAGAACTGCACAAGTCATGCCATGAACTGGAGACTTTTAATCTTAAACCTTGATCCTTCGGTCTTTACACAAGCAAAATTCCCATCTCAAATGGAATATTGTAGGATCGGGCTCTTAGTCAGAAAAAAGAACTGGTTTCTGGGTGCATAATAGACCATAGTAATATTTGTTGGAGGAAAGGAGTATCTTCGGTATTGTTGCTAGACTGGCTAGGTTAATGGAGTTCCTAAATCAACCCAAAATAGCAAGCATTTGTTGTATGATTAGCTTCACAATACATCCAGTAGCAAGAGCAAACTCTAATACAAATATCTGAGTTAGCTATCATAGCTCGCAGTCGACCACTGGTGTCCTTTTATTGGTTGTTGCAGCTGAGATTCTATTCCTAATCCTACCCACAAATCCCTATACGACATCACTGCCCTGATGTACTGTGTACTCTAGGTTAAGCATAGAAGAACTGAAGTTTAAATAGAAGATAGAATGTATTTTGCTTTGGCTGTAACAAAAAATTAAAAAATGGGATTTCACAACATGTGAATACCTAACCAAAAAAACCTGCTTAATATTATTGCCAATATTTTCCTCCTCCCTTCCTCCCAGTATTTATCATCACTTACCAAGTTACGGCTTAACTTTGTTTGAAAGGTCTCTGCACAAGCAAAGCAAGAAACTGCTTGAGATCCAGCTTTTGGGGGACTGTCTTTTGTTTGTAAAATGCCATACACATGTATAAATAATAATAAATGTTAGCACAAACAAACAACTGGAACAAGATATGGGTGGTGAAACAAGGATTTTGTGCCCAATATAGTAGACTAGAAACATTTCTGAAGAACAAATGAGTGTGTGGGGGAGTAACTTTTGGTGGTCTTGAGGGGTGGGGGTTCTTTCCTCTTCTCACAGTAATCAGAGGACTGACTTTAGAATTTGCATGGCACCAAGTTGTTGGAAACAGGAATTGGGTTGTGAACTGCTTCCCTCTAATTCTTCTAGCTAAGCGACATGAGTGTCTGTCAACAAGTTCTTCCCTGGCCCTATTGTCTTACTGAAGGAGATATTAGGAAACAAGACTGTTCCCTGCCCAGCTGGTGCAGAATTGGGGGTAAGTAGCGTTACCATCCAGTGGCAGGCGCACACTTACTTGCCTCTCGGAAGGCAGCTGATTGGGGAGCAGGCCACCAGGCCACTTGAAATGATTATGAGATAGAGATGCAGGCTGATGCTGTGCCACTGAATATTTTGCAGAGGAATCTAGAACTAAGGCCTTTTTCACAATACAAAAAGTGTCAAAAGGTGGGTAAGAGGAGTGGGAGGGGCAGTCTCACTGGGGTGAAGAGAGACTGTTTGTCCAGCCTGAACAGAGTTAATGACACACACTCAAACTCATTTCACCTGGTGTTGGGTTTCAATGCTAAAGTTTCACACAGCTCCCTGGACATTTTTTTTAACATCATTTTTAGAGGTGCTGAGCACTGCAGCTCCTGTTGACCTCAACTAGAGCTGTGGATCCTTAGCACTTCTGAAAATCAGGGCCTTCTGTCTAGTCTTCATTGGTAAGTAGTACAACATTTAGGGGAAAAAATTGTTTTAAGATTATTTTTTAAATAATTTACTATTTGGATCTTGAAAAAGGTCAAGGTTGACATTATCTAAGCTTATCTTTGGCTTATTTTAGAGGTTTTATAATAATACTTACTTTATGTTAGTTTGTATGAGTAAAACCATGAATTATCTACTTGATATTTCAGAAACATCCTAATAGTGGGGAACAAAAATATGAAGGACAACCCAATGATCAAAGGAACACTCAAGAGCTATATATGAATGTTAAGTGATTCATGACAGTATCACCTCATCATTTTTGCTTCTTTATTTGTAGCATGTTTCAACTTTACAATGTATAATATAGTGCAATGTAACAAGTTTGAGGGAAGTGATTATTCCCCTCTATTCTGCACTGGTGGGGCCACATCTGGAGTACTGCGACCAGTTTTGGGTCCCCCACTACAGAAAGGATGTGGATACATTGGAGAGAGTCCAACAGAGGGCAACAAAAATGATTAGGGGGCTGGGGCATATGACTTATGGGGAGAGGCTGAGGCAACTGGGCTTATTTAGTCTGCCGAAGAGAAGAGTGAGGGGGGATTTGATAGCAGCCTTCAACTACCAGAAGGGGGGGTCCAAAAAGGATGGAGCTCAGCTGTTCTCAGTGGTGGCAGATGACAGAACAAGGAGCAACATTGACATTATCTAAGCTTATCTTTGGCTTATTTTAGAGGTTTT